AAATTCAAAAGTTGCCCCATGTGCGTTGCATGCGTTCATCACACTACTTCGGTGCATTGCATCGCGCTATTACGCGCCTCACAGTTGCATGGTTATGCATACTACATGCGTTGTAAACGCACCCCTTGTATTGTCATGCACATCTCTCATGCATTGTTATTGCATTTTCATTACTAGCATTGTCGCGTATTTCAAGACATACGTCGTCTCGCGCATCGTCTACATTATCATGCATCTCGAAACACGTGCGTTGTTACGCATTTAAGTCCATTTACATTTCGTATGGCATGCGTGTCACACTTCGCATCATTTCGTGTCTTATAAGGCATGCATGTCTCATTTGTATCGATTGCATCGTCATGTGTGCCTCATTTGCATCGCCACGTGTGCCTCATTCCCATCGGCACGTGTGCCTCATGCCCATCAGTACATGTGCCTCATTCCCAACGGCACGTGTGCCTCATTCGCATCGGCACGTGTGCCTCATTCCCATCGGCATGTGTGACTCATTCGCATCCGCACGTGTGCCTCATTCCCATTGGCACGTGTGCCTCATTCACATCGACACGTGTGCCTTGTTCTCATCGGCACGTGTGCCTCACTTGCATTGGCATGCGTGCCTCATTTGCATTGTCTTACGTCCCTTGTGACCTGCATTGTCTTGCATTCATTATGCATATTAATTTCATTACCTGCGTAGACCGCATGTATTGCTTGCGTAGACCGCATTATTATTTTCATTACCTGCGTAGACCGCATGTTTTGATTGCGTAGACCGCATTATTATCTTCATTACCTGCGTAGACCGCATGTTTTGATCGCGTAGACCGCATTATTATTTTCATTACCTGCGTAGACCGCATGTTTTGATTGCGTAGACCGCATTATTTCTTTACCTGCGTAGACCGCATGTTTTGATTGCGTAGACCGCATCATTGTTCAATTTTATTACTTGCGTCGACCGCATGTTTTGCTTGCGTAGACCGCATGATTGTTTAATATCATTACCTGCGTAGACCGCATGTTTCGTTTGGGCAGACCCCATATTAATTTCATTGCTTGCGTAGACCGCATACTTGTTAATTTCATTACCTGCGTAGACCGCATGCTTATGATCAATTTCGTTGCCTGCGTAGACCGCATGCTCCACTTACATGTCTGTATTTTCATAGCATTGTTATGCTCCCCACTTGCTTTGCGCTGTCACGCATTTCAAGCGCACTACTATACATGTTGCTAACAAATTCGTACCTGTTAAGTTTGTTTTCTTTACAGGCACGATATTGTATGTACGGTTCATTTAAGGCTGGTGCAACCAAACGAACCGCGCAGGTATCAGACGGTCTAGGAGACCTTAAATCCTTGGAAGGTGTGAGACCTTTCGCTTGCATTGTCATGCGTATCAAAAGCCGCGCGTTGTTGTGCACTTCAAACATTTGCATTTCATAACAAAAAAAATATATAGTTGCATTGTCATGCATCATTATCATATAATGTAGACATTGCATCGTAGGTCGCATGCATTCATTGCATCACCTTCTATCTATGGCTCGCGCCTTTCCATGTTGAGCTTGGTTTGGTATGTGCCCATACTTTTCACGTTGAAGCATAGTTCAGTGGACCGTTCTATGTTAGCCGCGGCTTGTTTTTGTACATGCCTTTCCTAGGCAAGATTTGGTTTGGCTCGCGTGCCATGTCCATTGCATTGTAGTTTGCATGCATCATTGCATCACCTTCTATCTATGGCTCGCGCCTTTCCATGTTGAGCTTGGTTTGGTATGTGCCCATACTTTTCACGTTGAAGCATAGTTCAGTCATTGCATTTTCCCCAGTAGATCGCATCATACTGCATTGTCATGCATTTTGTAAATATCCATTCCATTGCATATTTGTAAATATTGCATTATAGATTGCATGCATTCATTGCATCACCATCCATCTATGGCTTGCGCCTTTCCATGTTGAGCTTGGTCTGGTATGTGCCCATATTTCTCGTGCCGAAGCATAGTTCAGTGGACCGTTCTATGTTAGACGCGGTTTGTATGCGTACATGCCCTACCTAGGCAAGATTTGGTTTGGCCCGCGTGCCATATTCATTTCCATTACATTGTAGTATAGTTTTTGCATCCGGCATTAGGATCATTGTCCTTTTTCCAGCGGGTCGTTTCCCCACTTATGTCATTCCCCCCAAATACTTGTTCTTGTGTCTGTCTACAATGCTCATAGTTCAGTTGATCGTTCTATGGTAGACAGACTTGTTACCTCCATCAATCTATTTGACATAGGTGTGGTTTCGAACCACTCGTGATTGGATCACGATTCAATTGCTTTATTTTATGTGCTAAAATTCTGTTTTTAGTCATTTAGTTCATGCCATGTTTGGTCTTGCTAAGTGTAGTTCAATACTCCATTGGTTTGCTTTGAGCACTTGTCATGCATGTTGCTAACAATATTGTACCTGTTAAGTTTGTTTTCTTTTCAGGCACGATATTGTATGTACGGTTCATTTGAGGCTGGTGCAACCAGACGAGCCGCACAGGTATTGTATCCTCCGAGTGAGACGTATTGAGATTTGCATGATTCTCTTACATCCTTTCTGCATTGTAGTGTAGTTTGGTGTATACTGGCTTAAAACTGTCGCATGTGTGCTTCGTTACAGCTTTCTTTGCATGATCATAAGCTTTACCTGCGTAGACCGCATGTATTGCTTGCGTAGACCGCATATTTATTGCTCAATTTCTTTACCTGCGTAGACCGCATGTATTGCTTGCGTAGACCGCATATTTATTGCTCAATTTCTTTACCTGCGTAGACCGCATGTATTGCTTGCGTAGACCGCATATTTATTGCTCAATTTCTTTACCTGCGTAGACCGCATGTATTGCTTGCGTAGACCGCATATTTATTGCTCAATTTCTTTACCTGCGTAGACCGCATGTATTGCTTGCGTAGACCGCATATTTATTGCTCAATTTCTTTACCTGCGTAGACCGCATGTATTGCTTGCGTAGACCGCATATTTATTGCTCAATTTCTTTACCTGCGTAGACCGCATGTATTGCTTGCGTAGACCGCATATTTATTGCTCAATTTCTTTACCTGCGTAGACCGCATGTATTGCTTGCGTAGACCGCATATTTATTGCTCAATTTCTTTACCTGCGTAGACCGCATGTATTGCTTGCGTAGACCGCATATTTATTGCTCAATTTCTTTACCTGCGTAGACCGCATGTATTGCTTGCGTAGACCGCATATTTATTGCTCAATTTCTTTACCTGCGTAGACCGCATGTATTGCTTGCGTAGACCGCATATTTATTGCTCAATTTCTTTACCTGCGTAGACCGCATGTATTGCTTGCGTAGACCGCATATTTATTGCTCAATTTCTTTACCTGCGTAGACCGCATGTATTGCTTGCGTAGACCGCATATTTATTGCTCAATTTCTTTACCTGCGTAGACCGCATGTATTGCTTGCGTAGACCGCATATTTATTGCTCAATTTCTTTACCTGCGTAGACCGCATGTATTGCTTGCGTAGACCGCATATTTATTGCTCAATTTCTTTACCTGCGTAGACCGCATGTATTGCTTGCGTAGACCGCATATTTATTGCTCAATTTCTTTACCTGCGTAGACCGCATGTATTGCTTGCGTAGACCGCATATTTATTGCTCAATTTCTTTACCTGCGTAGACCGCATGTATTGCTTGCGTAGACCGCATATTTATTGCTCAATTTCTTTACCTGCGTAGACCGCATGTATTGCTTGCGTAGACCGCATATTTATTGCTCAATTTCTTTACCTGCGTAGACCGCATGTATTGCTTGCGTAGACCGCATATTTATTGCTCAATTTCTTTACCTGCGTAGACCGCATGTATTGCTTGCGTAGACCGCATATTTATTGCTCAATTTCTTTACCTGCGTAGACCGCATGTATTGCTTGCGTAGACCGCATATTTATTGCTCAATTTCTTTACCTGCGTAGACCGCATGTATTGCTTGCGTAGACCGCATAATTGTTCAATTTCTTAACTTGCGTAGACCGCATGTACTG